CTTGAAGGCCTTGATGAGCTTGTTCAGGTGTGTTTGATTAGGGTTGGAGCAAAACTCTGCAATACAGCGGCCCTCCAGGATCGAAGTTGCCCATTACATATAACAGCATTATCTCAAGCATTATCTCAAAATGCAACTAAATACTATGCCAGAAGAGGGAGCCACAGTTTTACAAAAACGTTATTCAAGGGTATCATGCAAGGACACGCTGTATATTCTGCTGTTTTTAAGGCCCACACATCTTTACAATACATCAGTATTTTGTGGAAGTACCATGCAGTCAACAATATCAAGAATAAAATATTTCGTCAGTTTTTTTTTCTTCTGGCAATGAAAGATGAACAGCTGCTGCTTATATTTAAAAATGAAGCACTTCTGTCTTATCAGTTGTGATTTGCTGTAGATTTTGTCCACAGGCATTTAAGAAAACTATTTAAGCACGTTTAGCATATCATTTATTACATTTCAAAAGTAATTTAACCATGATGTCCTCTTTCAGAAAGAACAAATAGTTGTATATTTATGAAATACAAAAAAAAGGTAAACAAAATGTTTTTACAGTGCATTCTAGTCTAGATTATGCTAGTAAATACTGTATTAACTAACATTTTAAACAATAATTACAAAGCAAGGTCATCACAGACACATGGAAAAATAAATAAATTCAAGCTGCAGGTGATGCACCATTATGGTTGATCTTACAACAATCTTCAACATTTGGAGTGATTTTGTTTTTGTTTCCAGTCTATTACACTACATTTGTCCAGTGACTGTGTCCAGTGTGCAGGTTACTTTCACTGGACTTTCTAGCATTTTCTCTTTCTAAAAGTCTGGCCCTGTGCTCTGGTTCATGGCAGGACTGATTTGATACAGTCTTCTGTTTCTTGACCTCTGGATCGTTTCCTTAGAACATTCACAAGTGATTCTTCAGTCCTCATCTTTTGTTGAAACTGGGACTCTGGATCACAATTTGGGAGATCTTTCCAAAAGGGTCCATGCTGTCTATTTCAAGGCCCAACTGATGGTCCTGTTCAGGGTCAACAGAAAAACGCTGCTCCCCTGAAAGGTGGTTGGTAGGTTCCTGAGAAAGTGTGTTGACCATGGGCAGGAACTGGGATGCAGCATTCCCGTCGTTACTGTTCAACTTGCTTTTTGCACCACCCAAATTCACAAGGGCTCCATGTTTGCTTGAGATGTAGATGTTGTAACCATCTGGCATGATGCGTTCCAAAAAAGAGCAGTCCTCTTTAGTGTAAGTGTGCTGCAAACAAAAGCAACAGCATGAAAACTCACAAATTTATGCAAAGAACCACAATATGGATATCTCATCAACCTGCCCTGCCCCTGCATGTGTTTTAAGTTTTTTGATAGCTGTTTGCTCACCACCTGGAGAGGTCAAGGTTGTTATTGCTGTTTCTTTTCAATGAGGTTTTATCTATGCAAACATACCCCGCTGTGGGCAAAGGTTGATGCAATGACA